AAGATATTCATAAAGTTCAGCAATAAAAAAAACTCATTTCATAGTATATCTTTTGAAGAATTTTCACACTTGAAAATTTTATTTTTCTTTGTAAAGTGTTGCTAACACTCAGAACTGGCAAAGATCTTTTTCTTTTTTTTAATATAATACTTTATTATAGTCTCTTCCTTAAGGGAAGTAAATACACATTTCTACTGTGATATATTTTGGATGCAAACAGTTGATAACTTCATTTGCCATAGACTGTTGACAGTTTTTCTAAAAGTGCATTGAACATTCTTAGTGCTATGGAGATCTGAAGAAGGTAGGCTTCATGAAGTATTCTCCTGCCTGCTTGTTTTAGTCTCTCTGCAGGATTAATGGGAGCCTTAAATTGTATGTTCACTTTTCTACTCATTATAGTTTGTTATATGCCAATAGAAATATTAAAACTCAATGAAAACTTCATGCATACTGATGAGCATGCAAATGAGCACTGATAAAAGCCTGCTAGGATCTTAAGGCACAAATTCAATTATCTTGCTAAATTCTCTCTAAACAATGGTGACATTATAATGAGGACCAATATACCTTACAGATACATTACCAATAGCAAAGGCATTGTATGATTTATGTTTTGGTAGAGATTTTGCTTCAAATTCTTTGAATTAAAAGAATCCTGATTTAATAGTAATGCTTTTTTAGCAAGCATTTTAAAAATATTTGTTTGTTTATTTACTTATTTATGTGTATGAGAGTTTTGCTTGCATGTATGTAATACCCATAGAGGCCAAAAGGTTTTGCCATGTGGGTCCTGGGAACTGAACCTGGGTTCTTTGCAAAAGCAGCCAGTGCTCTTAACCACTGAGCCATCTCTCCAGCCCCTAATATTAATGTTGTTTCCAGTCTTGCTTTCTCCTGAACTTTGCCAGCTTGTATCAGGACATTTCTGTGTTACTTGTAGTAGTTGAGGCAGCAGTGATTTTATGAGTGATCACACTGAATATCTCCAGCTGTAGCCATCACTGGATATGTAACAAAGAGTCATCAGCCAGAGCCATCAGCCATCATCTCAAGATGTTTTAAGTGTCTGGTTATTGTTGAATCATAAATATATAAGCTTATTTCAGCAGTTGCATTTATACATCTGTGTAAAACAAAGATCATTAATTGATCATTTAAAACGAAGCTAAAGGAAGCCCTATATCTTGTCTTAGAGAATAATTGCTATGCCAGGAACTAGCTGCTACTTGGTGCACTCAGCATCTGGGTTCAGTTATATCTTACATTTATGAATGGATATTGTAAACTTAAACCCAGCAAACATTACAAAACATATGCTTCAATAAAATCTGATTTATAGACACTGAAATTTTGAATTTCATGGAATTTTCATATGTCATAAAATGTTCTTCTGATTTTTTTTTTTTTTTTAATATTTAAAGATGTAAAACAAGGGCTGGAGAGATGGCTCAGCAGTTAAAAGCTCTGGCTGCTCTTGCAGAGGACCCAGATTGGATTCTCAGTGCCCACATGACAGCTGACAGCTGTCCTTAACTCCAGTTCCAGGGGATCTGACACTCTCTTCTGGCCTCCATGGGCATTGCATTACCTGAGTGTACTTACATGCAGGCAAAACACTCATATGCATAAAAAAATATTTAAAAAGAAGATATAAAATAAGCAGTATTTTCCCCAGTGTCTTTACCTACATTAGAACTTTTCTAAAATGAGGACTAGGATGTAGCTTAGAGGTACAGGACCTGCCTAGCATACACAAAGCCCTTAGTTTAATCCCCAAGTACTGAATAAAGAAAAGGGACTTTTAGGGGCTGGAGAGATGGTTCAGCAGTTAAGAACACTGGCTGTTCTTGCAGAAGACCCGGATTTGAATCCCAGCACCCACATGGCAGCTAACAAACTGTCCATAACTCCAGTTCCAGGGGATGG